CCTACAGGTTTCTACAATTCCTACAGTGAGGATTATGAGGAGTGCACAGTTTATCTGCATGAACTCCTATACACCTATGACCAGAAAGTATTATAATCAGGTTTGCAGTATTCACACGATCCCTTTTGAAAAGTTTCCAAAGTCCAGCTTTATTGTAGATGGACCATGTTAACCTGAAAGTTGATTATGAAGATATTATAATCATAATATGTAAATTTCAATTAATTGTTTTATATTTTTCATACGTTTATAATTTATATACTACAAGAAATCTACGATATGGCCTGAATCGTATATGTTTTTTTATTAATACAAATATTTTTAGTAGAAGACCAAACATTTCTGATGAAAATAACAGAAAAATGTATATATTTTCTAAACACCAAAAACTTTAATGAAAATACATAAATTATGTTTTCATATAATACCTATACTTCATTTCTAACTTGACCAGAAATTAGGAAGTTATTCTAATCAATAATTTGCGATAGCTTTCTTCATATGCACAAACTATTTGAGGTTGTCCAAACTAAATATAAATTTGTATGACCATCGCAGAGCTGGAAAGGATTTCACAACAACACGAAACGATGTCGACTGCAACTGAGAGAGAGAATGAATTTACAACGTGGAAAACAATGGCCAACACGTATCTCATTTTGATTCGCTTGGGTCGGGAAAATAAAATTAGATAAGAAAGCTCGCAACTATAAAAGCAGCGCGAACCGCTACATGTTTATCAGTTCGTGAATCCACTGATTGTTGTATTAACAGCAAGGAATTCTAAATTTGGAAAAATTTACGTTTAAGCATTTATAAAATTTAATGCAATCTATAAGCAAGAAAATGTCTGAAATGGAAATCGAACAAAACACAGCAAAGACGGCTGAAGCTACCGAGACCCTTAACGATAAGGACAACAATGAAACCCAAACTCCTGAAGTTGGCAAAAGGAATAAGAAATCCATGAAATCCGTTAAAAAGACTATTAGAAAGGCTTACAAGGCACAATGGGAATTGAATATGGCAATAGAGGAGTTAAATGAAATATTGATGCAATATTGTGATGATACTGAGGGTGTTTTCTATTCAATGCCGCGTAGATTTAGAAAACGGATTTCAAGTACAAACTCAAGCTCATCTTCTACAAGTTCAAGCGAATCCGATGAAGAGGAAACCTTTACCAATTCCAACTCAAAGGAACAACACCACACGAAATCCAGAGGAGTTCCATGTGATAAGTCTTCAGCACAAAAAGATGATCCTACTAAATCATCGAAATCTAAATGCTGTCCTGAAAGAGATTTTGAAAATCATAGAGATTTCCATTTCAATTTTAACTATGGCCGTTTTCCAACAACAGGATTTGGACCATCTATGAGCCATAGGGAAATGGGATTTCCACATACTCGTAATTTTGGCCCGTTATTTATGAATGGCCCACGACATCCATTTGGTTTTCATCACCAACAATTTATGGGCAGACCTGGCGGACTTGGCGGACCATGTGGAGGTTTTGGTCGATTTTAATGGAAAACTCTTTGGTTAAAGGAAACCAAATGAATTATCGATGTAGACAAAATTATCATAACTACGAAGTATACATCAACCTAATATATAAAGAAAAAATAATAAAAAAATAAAAATAAATTATTAAGTTAAATTTTATTGAATTATTAAGCAAAAAAAAATATTTCAAAACATATATTAATAAAAATAATTAAAAAAAAAATAAAATAAAATGTTTTTCATTTATTCTAAATCTTATTACAAAGCATTATTCAGTTGTATTTATAATTTTTCATATATAGAGTTTAATAATATTTTAACTTTGGACAAAGGATACTACGGCTTTCAGACCAATTAAATCAAGTTACTCATATTCTTCAGTTTTAGTGTATCTTTTTTTCCAATAAAAATTTTTAAAAAAAATATTTTTAAAAAGGTTTGAAGTCAGAAGATACCTATCTATATTAGATAAATATACAACATTATAGAGAAATGGGAAGTACGTTTTTTTCTTATTTTATATGTGCTAAGATCTATTCCACCTATAAAAATTTTAAAAAATTAAATGTACATTATATTTTATAGATTGTGCGAAAATACGATATCTTCCTCACAGATAAAAAGATCTCATAAGTAAATAGTCTACTATCTAAGAAATTATATGTGGAATAAAATTTACGAAAGATTTGTTTTTTCTACAAATTAAAAGAATTTACGTTGTTTAATATATATATGTATTATAATATATATTCGCCTCTTGCATTGTTTAATGCAAAACATAAGACTACCTATAAATAAATGAAAGTTAGAGTAAAAAATTTATATATAATCGTGAATACCCTCTTAAATAGCGAGCTACGACCCTCAGGTCGAACACCCGCTTTTGGCGACACCTCATTGTTGTATATTACATCGTCGGTTAACACGTTTAAATCGATTATATTAAAATGACCATTCTAAATATTTCTATCTAGTTAGCTATGAACTAGAGATATACATAACATATATTGAATAATAAACATATGTTTTCCAATAATCATACCACGTATGATTTCCAAAACAGCTATATGGTCTATTATAAAATCTATAGATTTAAGCCTATTATTTCTTTTATTTATTGTCTATCTATATTTAAATAGAATACAAACATTTGTAGTTATCTTGTAGTTATCCATCGAATAAACTGTTCTAACATAAGAATTATACTAATGAAAATACTAACAAAAAAACCAAATGATAATGACACTTTCTATAGAAATACTCTTTCCTCCACTGAATAGATTAAGGTTCTAACCTTAAGTAATAAATAGATTCTAATTATTTTGAGTATCTCTTACTAATTTTGCGATTAAGCGTTATATAAATATGCCCACTTTGACTTAAGTGGCTAAGTTCTTTATTAAACTTCCTCTCTGTCAGAATAATCGGTAAAATAAACTTTTGAAATAAATATAATATTATAAATAAAAATCCAATATTTTAAGCAACGAGAATCATATATTAAAACCTATTAATCCTTAACGTAAAATATAAAATGAGAAAATAATTTCCCGGTCAGAAATAGATCCCACGGAACAGTTAATTCACGTCTCAAATTGTGGTATCATTGTGGACCAACACAATTGGGTACGTTACGTCTTTATGTGTGATAGACTGCCACTCATTAAATGAAAAATAGTTAACACCCCAATGAGATATTACAGGTAGTACCAAAATTCTTCTGAAGTCTAAATATAATATTAAATAATCTATACCATTGGCATCCAATGGAAGTCCCTATGCGACTTTATTTTCTTATTAAAAATTTGGATATAGTTATTATAAGAAAATTGTTTTCCTTTAATATTCAAAAATGTTACAAATACGAGTATGTAAATCTGCTCAAAAAATGAAACTATATCTTAATGTGGAACCGATACTGCATTATAATTCAAATGTACCTCCAGATGTTTTTTTAAGACTAGCTGCAATAACATAAGTGAAGCTAATAAATTATTTGTCTGACAGTTAATCATATAAAAAAAAAATTTAAATAAATAAAACCCAAGCTTTGTTTTTAATATTTTTATTAATAATTAAGTATCTTTCTCTTAAATAATAATTTTTTTTTTATAATATATATGTTGAAGAAGTGTATACGACTTGTTTTTAAATATTTTTATTTAAATGTTTGCAACAAAATTTATTTAAATAAATTTTTATTTTTAACCGTTACTTTTCAAAAATTTTTAACCTTGTTTTTGTTTTAAATTGTTTAACGATTTTTTTTAAACATTTGTATTAATTTTTATATATATATATTTTTAATAATTTTTATTTATATATTTTGAATAATTTTTATTTATATACTTGTAATCATTTATTTAAATGATTAAATTTAAAATTTAATAAACATAATTAAATGTTTTTATAAATTTTTGTTTAAATATTTCTATTAATTATTAAATTATTAAATAATTTTAGAGGTACCATATTTTTTTTTTTATATAATAATTTTTTAAAATTTGCTTTTCAAATTCTGCTTTTAGTTTATAAAATAACATTTTTTTCTTTAAATAAAATTATTTTTCTAATAATTTTATGTTTATATACCGTTTTTATTTTATATTTTATTTTAATTTAACTACTTTTATTATTTAAGACTGAAAAGTTTTCGGAAATTCTCATTTAAAATTCGCGCGCTGTATATTTTTCGATATTTTAAGTTTATGTAGTTTGGCAGCACTGTCCTTAATTACTATGCCAAAAATGAGCGCGATCTGTCAGACAGTTCGTTTACGGCAGCTGTTGAAACCAGTTCACCTCAGTAGTGCGTTGCGAAATGTCTTCGACGGTCGTACGACCGTCCTGGAAGGCTTTGTACCACTCATAAACTTGAGTTTTCGATAAAACTGATTCCCCATAAGCCTTTTGTAGCATTCGCAACGATTCTGCACACGAAATTTCGTTCGAAACACAAAATTTGATGCAAACTCTTTGTTCAATATTTTTTTCCATTGTTTTTTTCGCAACGCACTACTGAGGTGAACTGGTTTCAACAGCTGCCGTAAACGAACTGTCTGACAGATCGCGCTCATTTTTGGCATAGTAATTGTCCTTAATTTCTGCCAAACTACATAAACTTAAAATATCGAAAAATATACAGCGCGCGAATTTTAAATGAGAATTTCCGAAAACTTTTCGGTCTTAATGTATTATAATTATTATAATTGTATTTTCTATTCATATTTATACATATTTAGTATTTATTTATTTAATTTATTTATATATATATATATATTATATTATATTATTATATATATTATATTATTATTATTATTTTGAATTAATTAATTTTTTATTTTAACTTTTAATTTTTTTGTTTAATTTAATTTTATTTTTATTTTTTTTTGTTTGTATTTTACCAACTTCTTTTTAATTCCTTCATTTCATATTTATTAAAAATTATACGATTATATATTATATTATATTATACTTTTTTCTAAAAATATTCAATTATAGGCAAGTGTGCGCCAATCTTGGAATCGTTGCAAACATTGGTCATATGAACGAGTTTTCGATTGACTACGTGAACGACTACGCGAATGCATTCTAGTATGGTGGCGTCCATGTGAACGCCCACGAGAGTGACCGCGAGAATGTCCACGCGACCGACCACGAGAATGTCCACGAGAATGACCGCGTGAACGACCACGGGAACGTTCACGAGATCTGGATCGATCATCCCGATGATGACGGCGACTGCAATGGCTGTGTTTATTTCTACCGTCATGTTTTTTATGTTTATTAAGCTTATCACGCCCATGCTCCATCACAGCTACAATTTCACAATCACTAGAACTTGAGTTGGAACTAGAGCTGGAACTGGAACTGGAACTAGAATTAGAAGTATGATCAAAATTAGAAACAGTTGCTTTATTTTGATTTCGCCTTTTATGACCTCTAGAACTACATCGTTGACGTCCACCATGATGGCACCTTTTTATGTCCTTGGACTTATTTAACAATTGCTTCACAGCCTTGTTCAGCATATGTTGTGCTTCGTGTGCTCTTTTCATCGCTTCCTGAAGGAAATGTAAAGCAGCTTGATTTACTGGACTTACATGGTTTACGGCTTCAGTTATTTGTGCCTGGCGCGTACCTGAGTTCTCCACGTTCGGCATGACTGCAGCTGCGACAGCTGGAGAAGATTCAATTGACTTACTTTCTGTTGACATCGCTTCAAACAAAATCAATCTGTGCTATTTCACAATTGTAGTAAATTTCTTTTCAAAATAAATGCAGAATAATCACTTTTATTCACAAAAAGCACAGTAAGTCAACTAACGACGCTTCCAACTCAGCAGATGCCTTTTATACTTTCTCCGCACCCTGCTTTGTACTCAATCCAATAGAGCGACATTCGGAAAATGTTTCTCTCGGTCAACAAAGAATTTTATTTATTTTTGTCTGGCACTCACACATTGAAAAAGTATCTACAACGCTTCCACTGGCGTCGCCGGTTGTTTGTAAACAAATCGAAAGATACTTTTTTTGATAACAATAAATTTCGCACTTGTTTTGTTTGTTATGTAACTTCGTAGCAACTAAATAATAATGAAGTCGAAGCTATAGGGCTTCACATAGATTAAAATGTAATTATGATAAAATATTTTACCTATGACGAAATACTTTTATTTTAAAATATTGACTCATTCATACAATTTTCAAATGTCGGTGGAAAATGATTGATAATGTTTTTCTTTAAATTTCACTGTTTTTTTCAGTCACGTACCCCACTTTTATCTAAATCCAGACGTCCAGAACTTTCGATACAATTTTCATATCAGTGCACATAATTTGCAATTGCATAAATTTATGAAATTGAAATCGTTTTCCACAGCAGTTGATACAGTTCTTGAGCGCTACATGCTTTGAGCTCATCTACTTAATTCATTGCACAAGTTAAAGTTTATTGCATATGTGACATAATCCACCCGCAATCCATTCTCCCACTACGACAAGGACAACTGAATACCAAAAACAATATGGTGATCTATGCAGAAGTCTCAAGAACCAGTTTTTTATATAGATGCATTAGATTTGATAAAATACGATACTATAATGAAGATGAAGATATATAATGAAGGTCCATTGATAGATCACAAATACTTGCATTGACAAAGAATTAATATTATAGCCTACCAAAGAGTTAATTAATAATAATGCTATGAAAATAACATATATGCTAAAGTCAATGCATGTAGTAGCCCATAATAATACTTACTATGGTAAATGCTCAGGGTATATATTGAATAGAAAATTAATACGTCTAAGTAGACATATGTAACGGACCTTACAATACAAAGCTGAAAAGAAAAATAATGAAAAGTACTACAGCAAAGCCAACGACCACAGATGTACTTCTGATATAACGACATAGAGACAGAATAAAATTGCTGTGTAACTCTTACTCTATAAAGAGAACTTCACTTGCTTTGGACCACATAATCTTTATGTAAAAATTCGTAAAACCATTTTTTTTTGAAATATTGAAAAAAAATTAAACACATTTGAAATATATATAATATTGGACATGAATCTATTTAAGAAATATGAAATATAATAATAAAATAATGATTTGCTGGGTCTACATTTTGAACTAATACAACCGTTGTCACTAAGAGTTACTCCTAATGGAATCCACTACCCAGCAGATCAAAACAGCATTGCAAAAACTATATATATGAGCAGTTAAAACATTTTCAAAATTTAGAAACCATTAAGAACACGTTGTGATCTATTATGCCGTAAATACTTCAACAGTCCACATATGGTATAATTTAATGAAATATTTAAAAATTAAAATAATTCTAAATCGGTGATGGTAAAAAAATGAGACTTTTTTTATGTACTTCAAAACTGGACTTAGGAAGCTATTTTATTTTAATAGCTATATCCTATATAAGTATATATATATATATATATAAAATGTATGTACATATAATTTCGAAAAATATTTATAAATGTCCTTAAAACCGAAAGTAGTTGTTTGTCGCACTTGGATGGGTTCTAGCATGAGTCATCATTTATTATATTGAGAATGTTGCACAGTAAGTAAATTATTATACAATAGAAATAATTAAATAATTAAATTCACAATTTGATAAATATATTACATGAATACAATGTTTATAAAATAAAAAATATATAACAATTTGATTTTTCACTTTTTTAAACACTGTTAAACAGACATATATTCCCAATATTTATATGAGCAAGAAATACAAACATACCAGAATATTGTAATCTCTCTAAAATTCGATATATCCAATCAGTTGAAATTTTAAAATCTTCAAAAATTTTATTTATAACCTATTGAAAACATTAACTAATCAATGTTATTACGGTTGTCTGTGATAATGTTGAACTTAACACCAATAGTCACTTAGATTTCAATGAAAAAATCGGTGACTTCTAAATCTAGCACACGCTCTTCCAATTACCTACTCATTCTACAGTATGAGAGAAAGAGAGAGAGAGACACATATACACAAGTTAAGTTGAATTAGATCGCCCTCCTACTGAGCCCAAATTAAACCGTTGTAACAACCCATAACTCTAGTAAAGTTTTTTAAAATATTATCCATCGTTTAACGCTTTTTAACAATATATCAAATGATAGTAACATTGAGAGCGAAACACTGACCTTAAAACCAACTTCATCCAGTTGATAGTAACCTCATGTTTGTATTTTTTTTATTATGTACTGATCAGGAGCAGAGAAAGTATTCAAATTAGATTAAATATTAATTATTATTAAATTCAACATAAATATTCACAACAATCGATATGATTGTAATATCTTTTTATAAGAAAAAGTCTACTATTCTTGTACTACAGACTTAAATATCATATAAAAGATCCTCAGCATCATTTATTATCCTACTGGCTAACAGCTAGCAGTTGGTGCTCAATCACATTAAAATAAGCAGAAACCAAAGTGCCAACTATGGTACTAAAAACGTAAAAATCCATATAAAAACAAACTGTATAAGTTTATAAAAGCTTCTACTAAAAAAAACATTTGCACAAACATTGATAATATTTGTTGTAAATTTAAAATTAATAAACAATTATTAATAATTGAATTATAATTTTTAATAAAACAGAGTCCATGACTCTCTGTATTCTAAATAATTTACCCGCATCTTTCAACATTTGTACAATAGATGTTTACACATATAATCCACTATGCGCCACTATCGAAATATCCAGAAAGAAATTTGATTTAACAAAAACAATTTGTGCCCACAGTGCCCACAGAAATATGTCAACAAGTGTTTTAAGCTCCCAGCTCAAACACTAATTCATATTGTCTCCAGCGGGTATTCTCCCTCAACTGTTTTTGTTGACGCAAAAAACAACGACAAAAAGTGTTTATCTACTCAGGCAGAGTCAGTGTCGCTGGTATAAAAGCAGCTCAATTGGAAGCATGAAAATCAGTACGGCAATTACTCTTACAAGAGACAAGTGGTTCTTAAGAGACGACACAAAAGAAACGTTCTGTAAAATTTTCCAAGTGAAATAAACAATATTGTGAAATTGCTTTAAAATAATATTAATTAAATTGAAACGCTATGGCTGAAAAAGACGCAAGTCAATTAGCTGCTGAGCTAAGTGCTAGCCTTGAAGACTATGCGGTATCCGAACAACAACAGGAGCCACAGTCAACCCACAAAATCAAGGTTGATAAAAAAACATCAAAATTATTGGAGAAAGCCATCAAAGAAGCGTACAAGGCTCAGAAAATGTTGGAGAAAGCAATTGAACAATTCAATATTCAATTGCAGCTAAACGAAGTAGAAATTGGAAAGTCAGGTGGAAAGTGTAAACGCAGTAAACATCATGGTGGCAGAAATCGTTCGCGTTCACGTTCAGGTTCACGTGGACGCAAAAGTCGTGATGCCAGCAGTAGCTCAAGTTCATCTTCCAGTTCGAGTTCCAGTAGTTCAAGCTCAAGTTCAAGTTCCAGTGATTCAGAAGTTGAGAAGAAAAAGAAAGGTGGAAAACATTGCCGCAGACGACAACATCATAATAACCGTGATCGTTCTAAGTCTAGAGATCATTCTCGTGGACGTTCACGTGGACATTCTCGTGGACAATCTCGTGGACATTCTCGTGGACAATCTAGAGAAGAGTCTAGAGAACACTCAAGAGAAAATTCTAGGGAAAATTCTCGTGAAAACTCACGCTCACGTGATACTGCCGTAAATAAAGAAAACAAAACTCCTGACCATCATCGACGTCATAAAAGTCGTTCAAAATCTCGTGATCATTCACGTACCAGAGCTGTTAAACAACATAAAAAACATGGACGTAAACATGGACGTCATGGCCGTCACCGCTCACGCTCACACTCTCGCGACAATTCTCGTTGTGGCAAAAGGGCACATAAGCACCACAAGAAACATCATGGAGAACATAAGCACAAACATGAACGCTGTCGTTCGCGTGCAAATTCCAGATGCGACGTAGAAAGGAAACATAAACATCATCATGCAAGTCGCCCACATTCAAGACCACGCCATCACGGTCCCACCGAATTTGCACCATTTTTGATGCCAGGTGGTATGGGTTTTCCGCAATTGCCACATTGTCGTCCTTTTGATGATTTTCATCGTTTTCCATTTGGTGCTAATCGTTGCCTCACCAGATTGGGTTATCATTCAAGCGGCTTTTAAGTATAAATACTTCTTTTGAAATTTGAAGAGGAAGAACGAGCAAAAACTCTACGATTAATTAAAAAAAAAAATTCTTTAAAAACAAAAAATTCTTATTTGACAATTAAAAAAAACTTTAAAAAATAAAAAAAATGTGATTTGGTAATTAAAAAAAACTTTAAAAAATAAAAAAAAATGTGATTTGGTAATTAAAAAAACTATTTATTCAAAATTAAAAAACAATATTATTTAAAAATATAGAAAAAAAAATATTGTAAAATATTAAACATATTATACGTTATCAAAATTATTCTTATATCTATATAATATATAAACAATCGAGCAAAAAAAAATTTGTGATTAATTTTGCAATATACATGCATGAAATACTTATCTTTATAGTTTAATTAATATGTCATTAAATGTTTACAGTATTAAAAATTCAGAAAATAAAAATAAAAAAATTAAGTAACATTAATTCTAACATAATAAATAGTATAAACAAAAAAATAAATAAAAATAAATACAAAATAAAAAAAATTGTTTTTATTCAGTACATTTGACTTCTATGGGAAGAGGTGAAATATATTTAAATATGTAAGTACATAGCATAACATATTTATCGGTGTTAAGTATATAAGTAAAGTATATCTGTTAATATTCTTCAATACCTCCAATATTTTATACATTTTATATATAAACCAGTTTTCAATTTCTTCCATGATATAAGGAAGATCTTTAGCAGAATTAGGTCAACACCTTATGAATATACTCCATTTTTTTTTTTGAATATTTTGAATTTTTACGAGGTTAGTATCCACTCAGTTGCGTAGCATCGTATATTCAGTATGACACTACTTTTTAGTACCTATACATATTTTAAACGCTTCTCTAGATTGGAACACATAAAAGTATTTGAAATTTTGTTGAACTCCCGTCTTGCATTCCTAGTAATAAATTTGTTCTTTATAAACTGTGTTTTTATAATCAGTAACTCAACTCGATTACCACCTACCATTACCTGCGGTTGTTGTAGTTGTTGTTAGCCGCGGGGATCTGTTTGTGATATCCCTTAGGTGGGTGTTGAAAGACACTTGGTCCTCGAAATTGACTGTTTGTCCGGACATGGAATCGGTCGTTTGTGGAAATATTACTTACGGTTCTCTTATCTAGTTACAGTCCTTGAATAAGAAAAACAATCAGTCTTGATTTGAAACAGTTCAGAGAGGTACACGAGTAACTGCCCCAACTACGTTCTGCTAAGTTTTGTATTATAATATTTATAATGAAGCTCTATGATTTTTTTTCTTGTTTTTGTTGTTTGGTCTTTCTAGTACCATATGTGGTTTGATTGCAAATTAAATTCAAAAATCAGATGAGAAATTTTACCTTACGCACTGTATACCCAATAAATATTAATATATATTTGAAAATAAAAAATATAAACTTTAAAATTAAATTAGTTAAATCAATATACGCCTGGTTTTTTGTTAGTTTTGATATTTTGTCATATACACTGTTTACGTGATGTATATCATAAACCATAATATTTTTTCCTCTTTATAAAAAGCGTGTCAACTATATAGTAATGCATGTATACTTTCCTTATCGCTCAAGGCGTGTGTTGTTTATTAAAGATAAATATACATATAATGTGCAATATAACTATGACTCCATTAAAAAAATGTGAACTACAAAAATAAATATTTAATAGAAGTGAGAGAAACATATAAATTATAGTTATGAATTGCTGATTTAAAAGTCTCTAGGTCTACGAATCAGAATCATTCATTAACATCGATGACTACCTACTAATCCAATTTGAATTTAGTCATTCTATTCATATTGAATACCAGGCAAGTCCATAAGGCATAATAAAAAAATTCGAAGATCGGCAAAATCTATATTCAAAGTCCAGGAAATGTCAATTGATTGCGAGAGGAATACAAGAGTTGAGATGAGATACAAGGAAGAATTTATGTGGCATGAGGTGCAAGAGTGTAGGTGTAGATAAGGCACTAATTTAAGCTGGCCTGAATCAAAGTAAAGGAACCTTACCAGTACGACGGAAAAGAGCAATTAATCAATAGGGCGCAAATCAATCATTTTAATATAAAATTATATGATATGAATGCAATGATACCATATAATGAATTAATGATAATATAAAATTATAATTATAGTTGATAGTGAATATAGAGTTAACGAAGATAAATAGTTATCTTTTTAGAAAAATCTTATTGAAATTATTTCAGTTAATAAATGTTCAGTTATTGGTCGTACACCATCGAAGACTTGCGAACCATATTGCAAGAACTGCACTAAGCTCGAAACCCCGAGGCTTTAGAAAGCGTGGCGCACAAGCACAAACATAACGCAGAACTATAAACGGAGAACTCTATAAATGAAATTATAACTGGAATGATATATGCCGCGAAACACCCAATAGAGTTTAGCTTAGACCTACGACAGAGGCCCTATGCTTCACGAGGAGAAGAAAACACACTAAGACATGCACACCAGGAAATCTCTATTTATACTTTTACCAACCGCTGATATAGATAAGAGTATAAATCATGTTCTCGATTTACGTGCAGATTAATTAATTAAAAATTAGTAATTTAGTATCAGTAATTTGTGTACATAAGATTCCAGATATGCATTAGATAAAATTTCTAACATGTACTAAAATTGTTACCTCTTGAAAGAGAATCAGTACATCTACGCTTTAAAAATGTTTATCAATACTCGTAGTTTATTTGATAGGTCGTAAATGTTTGTTGGAGACCCCTTTGTAAATAGTGTACCTTTTATTGAATGCATTTGTACTCAAGTTAGATTTAATTATTATTTTGAGGCTAGTTGGGTCAGTACACTTGAGCACTTTTACTCTCTATTGACTATGAGGTCTCTTCATAACTCCTTTCTACGCTTTAACTGGATTATTGTTTATCACTTCATCAGACTAAGCAATAATTGACCTCAGATCTGCATACCTTCATGAGGAACCTGTAACCATTCTGAGATTCGATAAAGCGGTGTTGGTAAGCCTATCAGTTTTCGTAAATAGTTTCAGGGCTCTATCCTTTAAGTATTTTTTGATCGGATCAATCTTGTGGTCCCTGAGGCAGATCTAATCTTTGCCTTCAATTGAAGTGCTTGAACTTAAAATAATGAATAAGCGCGTATTCGCTCACCAAAACTATTTATGTTAAAATCTAGAAAGAAAATCATAAATAATAAATTAGACAAATTAATATTGACGTACATTAGAATTTATTAATTTTACTTATAATAATGGTTTTTTTTTATAATTCGATATTTTTTCATAATAAATTTTCAAGTCACAATTTAAAATTTTTCATTTACATTTTACATTTGCATATTATATATTACGATTAATTAATAAAGGTATATACGTATAAGTTTTATTTCAAAGTCTTAAGTAATTACCCAAATTAACAAAATTAAAATAAAGAATTAAATAAAACCTATTAGCTTAGCATAATAAGAATACAATAAATGATCGCTTCTGAGCCAAATTAAAAATGCTTACTTAAAAATACAGCAAATTAAGTATGTAAAATGTATAGGCCGGGTTCTAAAGTAAAACTTAAGAGCACTGCCTTGAGTTACTTTAAATGCGAGGAAATAATGCAATTTTCTATGTTACGTTAGCGTAGAAAGAGGAATACGCGTACAGCAGGATTTAAAGGACGTCAGCATAAATACTGTGCAGTAAGTTAAAACAGTTTATATACATATATATGTGCTATAAATATACAGAAAGAAAATATTTATCTCATATCATTATCATTAACAATTACAATTACAATTCAAAATATAAACATACAAAAGCTAATTCTTCATAAATATGAGTTTTTTTTGTTTTTTTCGTTCATAAAAGTCGTAGCTGCCTTAAATTTAATTTTAACAAATCTTCGTTGGTTGATTAAACGAATAAACTCGACTCGATCGGAGAATTTATATTGTTGTACAAATAAATAATTAATAGTTTAAGTGCATTTCATTGTATCACTTATATATGTTCTTATAGCACAGTTTGTATACATTGTTTAAATCAATTTCCTTTTCCTTTAAAGCTATTTCTTAAATATTTCATTTCATTAAACAAATTTAATTCAAATATCATTTTATTTTCGCAATGTAGTTTCTACTAAATATGTTTGAACTTAAAGAGAAAAAACGAAATTTTACAAAACAAAAATAACATTAAAAAAAACAAAAAATAATATATATTAAATATTTAAGACGTAAGTCGCGCGAACCCGTAGTATTAGATTCGATTTATAATGTAAAAACTAGTACATATTTTCTTGGTAGTACATATATTTCAGTAGATACGTTCATAGAAGAGTAAATAAGCTTGCGCTCTTAAAACGTCATCCTCCTGTACTTCTTGCACACGTGAATCGGAAACATAATACCATTTACCCAAAGGTACTTGAACGTTGAACGCTTCCTCGTAACCACCGACAGCACCCTCAAGATCTGGTGATTCAGGGACATTTTCCCTATCCGAAGACGATGTTGAACTATCAGAAAAATCGTCGCTATCATTGGAATACTTCATTCGTAGTTCTCTGGCTTTTTCTCTAGCTAATATTTCGTCCAATTTTTTACGTACATCATCGTCTTGATCAAGTTCGGCTCGACTACCATGCGGTAGAAATTTCCACCTCGCGTCATCGACCGCCGGTTTTGGACGTACTTTTACATAAGCTGTATAGTGACCACCGTACATGCCACCTGAATGCTCTACAATACCATACAAAGCATAAAGTAGCTTTTTTTGTTTTCTATTAATATTGGGTAAATTTTTTACTTTTGAACCACAAAACGGTGCTACATCCAATATCATTGGAAAGTTTACAGCTCGTGTAAGTTTGCGGAATATGCAACGTGGTCCTAACTGAAAACGTTTTAGATGTAAAATTAATACAGCCGGCGGGCTGGATATGAGGAACTGCTTCGTTGCATTAGTATTGACTGTCTTCGCCTTTGGATTATCACCGTTAATGCGTTTGGTACAATTCTCACAACCTACCATATTGTTGCCCGTCATCAATTCAATTGCTGTAAAATTATTCAGACATGATTGCACAGAACATTCACCATCCTCGCATTGATAACGTGGCGCTATAGTAGTACTCCAATCCGAATGACTTAGGGTTCTTACACGTTTCACTTTTTTACGCGTCGCATTCTGTTGTTCCTTCAATTCAAGATTTTCCATTTGAGCTGAAAGTGCATCGTCATTAGTAGATTTAAAATTACGTCGTAGATTTTTTGCACCTTTAACGCTGATACCAACGTTCACTAAACTGGCATTAACTGCGGAATTGCTTTCCGAAGCACTCGGGAAATTGCTACCATTGTTTGCTGGACTCGTGGCTATACCGGAATCTACCGGTAACGGATAATAAAATTATACAGTTTTTATTAATAAAATTATTAAACTTACCATTTTCGTCTTCTTCAAGTGAATCTTTATCTGCATTTTCTGGTGAATCTCCTCTTTTTTCTGGCTTATTTGGACTTTGTAATTGATTATTTCCATTCGTATCGCAAAGTGAAGTAGATGGTTGACGCACAGTCTTTTCTGTTATATTTTCATCAACTAGATTATCTTCAACATCTGCATCCGATTGTTCTGCCGAAGATGAGTTAGAAGAATCGTCCATAGCATCGTTTCCTGTAGCACCATCTGCTCCACCGCTGCTTCTAGTATTATGAACAGGACCATCTTCCAATAAAAATTTATTCTTTATATGTAACGTAGACTTTGTACCGCGAGCAGATGTTGATTTTGCACACGAACTAGTACCACTTTCATTGTCAGGACTGGATTTTCGTCTTTGTGGTGGTTGAGGTTTTTCTACGCTTACTGGTAATGACACATCTAGAAAATATTCATGCCTTGATGACACATTATAACAATCCTGACAAGTAAGTGTAGATACAAGAAAACCACGGAACACTTGATCAGGTCGCAAAATGCGATCAGCTGCTTGATTACCATATATTTTGCATTTCTGTCGCATCTCTTCAGAAACACTATTAATGTCTTTATCTTTATAACCTAAATTTTGGAGTATTACACGTTGGTACCTTTTTAAATCTTCCGATCTATAATTGAAAAAATGGTTAATTACATTTGCTTTTTAATGTAAATTTATAAAATAATAAAATTACGAATTAAAAAATGTTCAAATTTTATGTTTAAATGGGTTAAGTATACTCGAATTAGAACATTTATTTTCTATGCTTTATTTTACTTTTGTTTTATTTTATAGAAATTTTGAAACAAAAAATGCTCTATCACATTGAAGTCGCCAGATTTCTATGCCTTTACCCGGATTATCTCAAATCAAAATTTAAAACATCCGCAATCCAATCTTGTTCTTAAACAATTGCCTCCCTTTGATGTTTTCTTTCCTACCTAACCATATTCTGACGCATGTACACATATTCGTTATGCCTCTCATCTAATCTGCTATATAGATTTCTACAGGTTACTTAACTTAACCATGTTTTGGTTAACATCATGTAGCATCTTGACTCTCTTCTCTGGATCGCCTTATTTGATCTATACTGAAAGAACCTGATAATCTACCAGGTTAACCCCTTCCTTTTAAGCATAACATTTCAGATATCAGTATATCTAGTCTCTGCCGCTTAAATGCTTTTAAGCTATGCTAAAGAATTGATACCGAGACCATTTATTTCGCTTGATGATATAATCAACTTCAAAGAAACATAATAGAGATTTAGATGGCACTGACTTAAAAGATTTAAACTTCTATAAAATGCTCTTAAGACTTTTTTTGTAAGTTTTTGTTTGAAAAAGTATAGCTCTGCTACATATTTCGCTTCGAAAGTATTTTTTTTTTTAACTTAAACTACCAATAAATAAAAAATCCAGCAATTGGAATAAAATTTCAAGTACAGCAATAAAAAAAAAACAGTCAAATTTATAAATACAATTAAAAATAAAACTATGTTAATTTACCTCACACTCTCAAGTAACTGTCGTAGGAGTTCGTGTGAATCATGTTGATCACCACCACGAAATTGCGGGCATTTGGTACAGAGTTTGTCAAAAAGCTTGACAGGCGTAAAAACACCACCTTTAACACAATAAAAATTAATTAATCGTCCATCTTTGAGATTTTATAACACTTACCTCCAGATTGCAGTTCTTCTAAAGCATTAGCCAACGCAGATGTTAGCCCACCCCAAACTGATAACGTACCCTTAATAGGTGGCAATTTCATATCGCTTTGATCTTTATATTTAAATACTCCACCAGGAAGTGTAAACCTAAATATTCAATTTATTTATTTATTACACTAAAGAAAATAAAAATAATACATGGACTTTAACTTACTCTTCGCCTGGTTCTGATAATTCCTTCAGCACTTCTAATAAGTATGGAGTTTGCGCAAGACACTGCATAACAGCATTAAAAAAACATGTATTTCCTAAATTCGTTAAACCACGCACTCTGGGTAATTGTTCATATCCGTAAACTTCGGATTTATTGTTTACATCGTTATTTAATTCTAAGGGGCCTTTGGCGGTCTTTGTTACACGTTTTGCCATGCCTGGTGCAGGTGGTGCTGGCGGTGGTGGTGGAGGCAGCGCTATAGCAGTATTATTTATACTGTTGACTGTTGGTTGGAGTGTCTCCCAGGTAGCTACAATTGTCTTTTCAAGAGTTGTAGTTAACGCAGTCAAATCTGAAGGCTGTGGTTTCGCTGCCAATTTTTTGACGAAATCTACACAGTCCAACAAATTTTTCCTGGAATTGGCACTTACTTCGTTGTCACACTCATAGCACCAGATTTCGAATGTGCGGGTGTTCATTGTAAGTGAATGTGAATCCGAATGAGGTGTCTAAAAAAGTTATAAAAAAAAAAGGTTATAACATATTGAATAACAGATTTACGTTATTGATTACCTTGAAATGCTGCAATGCATGCTGATTCTTCGACCTGCCGCATAATTGCGTTCCGCATTTGAGACAAAGCCACAACGTATTGTCATATTCAAAGCAACTGTTATCGTTTAGTGACTCACTTGCCTCAGTGGCGGGAGAAGTGGCTCCAGCTTTTTTGCATTGCCCGCAATCACTAGCCAAGCCACTGGTTTTCAACAATTTCTTTAATTTTGGCGCATCAACCGACTTTTTTACATGCTGGCAGCTGCCTGCTGTTGGTGAAGTTTGTAAACCTCTCTCATCGGTGCTATCGGTTGATGAGCCATCGTCGTGCGCATCTGGCTGCCTCTTCTTCTTCACCATCACTTCTTTTGTAACTTAAATAATGGGATAGAAGTCAGTTATAGCGTAATTCCAAACTAAAATATAATGCATACAATTTACAAAAGGTAAAACATAATTAACATATTTTTGCAACATTCAATTTTGATTATTTGATTATTTGGTTTTTGGATATCGGATTTCGGATTTCGGATATGGTATTTCGTATTTTTTTCAAGTCTGCAAATTTGGCCCAATTCGGGTCCTTCCCATTTCAATCATTACGTTGCGTATTGAGGTTAAGTAGAGACAATTAGCTTGCAAGAAAATTTTATCATAAGCAACAACAAATCTGATAAATTTTGACAGTTAATATAAGTTTTCAACAATATTTTAACAAATGTGGAAGCTAATTTTCTTTGTTTGTCTACACAAAATAATTTACATCGCTAAAAAGACGATGCGTTAAAGGCTTGGAACGACCCGCGCACACAGCAGTACGAACTTTTTTCTTATTTATTTACCTTACTATGCTTGTAAACTTTAATAAAAACAAAATTTTGATATTTTTTCAATATTTAAATTCATTAAACATGTTTAAAAATTATTAATCAAAAAGTCGTCACTCAAAACAACGTGAAATTTTTCGCTCTCATTTTTGTGTTTTCTTTTGTCATTATTTTGCGTTTATTATGTTGGCAAAATTGATACGCTGTAGCGCCCCCTGCATGTGACTTTTGTTTATTCCAATAGAGAATTCTTGTGCGTTTTTCTGAACGTACTGTTGATATATGCAGTCATTATATCAAATTTATATAATTAAATAAATGTATGCACAGTAAAAATAAAATAAAAGTAATTTAATAGCAAAATAATAATTTTAATGTAATTGTAATTTTATTTTTATTGGACTACTACTGAGTTTGTGTATATTGAAATTATTTTCTCCACTTTTTGAATGCCACTGAACGTACTTCACCAATGCATATTTAAATTGAGAATATTACTTATATATTATTACATTTGTACGCATATTTTATCAAAATATGTAAAATATTTCGATATTACACAAGGAAAAAGATAAACAAATACATTTTAACTGGTAGTACATTTTGTTTATGATGAGCTGACGAAACATCTTAAATTTTAAAGTCTATAACTAGATTATAGTTTTAAAAATTTTTATCTGAGTCCGTACATATTCCCATTATGTTACTGCTCAAACTACTCTCTTCAACGGTTTATCAATCTGCCCATTATGGACTCCCTTCCATTTTGGATCTAGAAGAACTATACAAATCTTACTCGAAGGGACCTATTCTTCGACTCTAAAGTCATAATAAAATTACTATTTTTAACAGGTAAATCAAAAATAGATGACTTGAATAATGACAAAACAAATGTATTTAACTTTTATCATATTTATAATAATAACCCCACAAATTGAAAGCTTTTGAAGCAAGCCAATTCTATAAGACAACGTATCATTTAGAATTTTTGAGATGCTTCACATTCATCTAATTCAAAACAAATCTGCTATAAGGATATGTAGTGGTTTGTTATGTTGGGGTTTATTTCGAATTTAACACTCCGTATTGGTAATGGATAAGTTTATTTATTTCTTATACTTAGTTATTATAAAATATTCTTAAAGTTAAGATTTATGTTTTTACGTCTTATTCACGTGCTGCTTTGTCTTTTTCCAAACTACTACTGGCGGGAACTGCGGCTATTGTTGTCTCCTTTGTGCCTTGTTGACAGTTCTTTTATTTATATTTTTTGGTGCTGCCACAGTACTCCCCCCTAAGTGATGGAGTCACTGAATTTGGTTGGAAAGCGAACGTTGCGTCCTGATTTTGTCAGGTTAGCTGTTGTATTTGGTCGCACAGACTGGTCGCCATTAACGTTGTTTGGAGTGTGGTATACCATTGATTTGTTGTGGATGTCAATGTCTGTATCGGGACATATGAAAGCAGCTTTAAGACGATCTATGCTAACTGTTTGTTCTTTGTTTTCGATCAGTATTCTAAACGTCTTGTCATTTCGCTCTAGTATTTGGTAAGGACCATCGTAAGGTTGCGTCAATGGTGGTTTTACCTTGTCATTTCGTATAAATACATGCGTGGCTGAGCTTAGAGCCGGTTGAATGTGGTAGCCTCGGTCTATATGATGCGATACCAACGTTGCCTTGACGCTCTGCATTTGTTCTCTTAGCTTGGTTATGAAATCGTGTTGATTTATATTTCTGTGGCTAGGGTTGCTTACTATTTCGCCCGGTAAACGTAGAGTTTGGCCATATAGCATTTCAGCAGCAGAAGCTCCAATGTCTGGTTTAAAAGTCGTGCGTAGACCTAACAATACTATTGGTAAAACTTCTGTCCAAGAAGTTGTTTGGTGGCACATTAAGGCTGCTTTTAATGTGCGGTGAAATCGTTCCACCATTCCGTTACTTTGAGGATGGTAACTCGTAGTTCGTAAGTGTTTGCAACCGATAACTTCAGCTAGTTGGTTGAACAATGAAGATTCAAATTGTCTTCCTTGGTCTGTTGTGATACGTAAGGGTACGCCAAAACGTGCGATCCATTGAGTAATCAGTGCGTTTGCGATGGTTTCCGCTGTTTGATCTGGGATCGGAATTGCTTCTGGCCATCGGCTGAAACGGTCGATGATGGTTAATATATATGTGCAGTTGTTTGATGGTGGTAGCGGGCCGACGATATCTATGTTTATATGTTCGAATCTGTGTTCAGCGAGTTCATATTGACAAATAGGTGAACGGTTGTGACGTTGCACTTTAGAACGTTGGCATGGGATACATTGTCGGGTCCAGTTTCTGATATCAGCATTTATAGAAGGCCAGAAAAATTTTTCAGCTATCATTTTTGTTGTGCCCCGAATGCTGGGATGAGACAACCCATGCGTAGCTTTAAAGATATGTAGCCGGTATTTCTGCGGAATGTAAGGACGAATTCGCCCAGTTGAAACTTCGCAATAAATTTTATCTGATATTGTTGGTAAAGATAAAAGTTTGATTTCGATGGAATTGTTGTTTTTGATATCTTGTAGTTGTGGGCAACATCGTTGTAATCCAATTATACAATCGTAGTCGATTTTTGGGATGCTAATACTATCTATCCGCGAGAGAAAATCTGCTGGGATGTTGTCTTTTCCGCTGACATGAACGATATTCGTTGTAAATTGACCTATATAATCAAGCTGACGGACTTGACGTGGTGAAGCCTTGTCGGACTTTTGCTGGAATGCGAACGTGAGTGGCTTGTGGTCAGTTATTAATACGAATTCACGACCTTCTAACATATGTCGAAAATGTTTTATGCCCTGATATGCGGCTAACAACTCACGATCGTATGTGCTGTATCGTTTTTGTGTATCTGTTAATCGTTTAGAGAAAAAACCGAGTGGTTGGAACGTGCTGTTTGTCACTTGATGAAGAACTGCGCCGAGAGCTTTATCCGAGGCGTCTACTTGTAATGCAAGCGTAGCAGTTTTTGACGGATGAACAAGTAGTGTCGAGTTTGTTAGTTCATCTTTACATTTTTGGAAGATTGTTTTGTTCACTTCGGTCCAGCATAACGGTGTGTTGTCGTTCTTCTTGTTTCCTTTTATCATTTGTTGAAGTGCAGTTTGAGAATCTACAGCGTTTGGTACGAACCTGCGATAAAAGTTAAGTAATGCTAGAAATCTTCTTAATTCTTTTGTTTTTGTTGGAAGCGGGTACTCGCTGATGCTCTTCACTCGATCTGGTAGAGGTTGAATGCCCTTTTCACTGATGAGATAACCAAGAAATTTTACTGTGTTTTGAGCAAAAACGCATTTTGATACGTTTATTATTAAACCATGTTTTCTGAATCGTTCGAATACTTGTTGCAAGTGTTGCCTGTGCTCTTCCTCGTTTGCTGATGCAATAATGACGTCGTCAATATAGGCAAAGGCGAATTCGAGATCTCGTAATACTTCGTGAATGAAGCGTTGAAATGTTTGACCTGCATTGCAAAGTCCGAATGTCATGTTAGTAAATTCAAATAATCCAAATGGAGTTATGATCGCCGTTTTTGGAATATCCCCCGGTTCAACTGGTATCTGGTGATATGCCTTAATCAGGTCGATGGTTGAAAAAACTTTTTGGTTATATAACATGTGTGCAAAATCATGTATGTGAGGAACTGGGTAACGATCTGGGATGGTGATTGCATTTAAGCGACGGTAATCTCCGCAAGGTCTCCAACTACCGTCTGGTTTTTTTACCATATGTAAGGGGCTAGCCCAATTGCTGCTTGATGGACGGCATATTCCGGCTGTGACTAAGTTTTGGAATTCTTCTTTTGCTGCTGCTAGCTTGTCTGGAGGTAACCTACGTGGTCTCTCACATATTGGTGGACCTTTTGTTAATATGTGGTGAGTGACTTTGGTCACCTGGCGATTTGTCGGTGTTGGTTTAGTAATGTCGATGTATTCTTTTAGTAGATCTGCAATTTTGCAAGATGTGTTCACAGTTGATATTTTTTGCGCATTTACCTTACGTTCACTTGCGGCTGAGAAAATCTTTGTTGATGTGTCGATCAATCGTTTCATTTTTATGTCTACTATTAATCCGAAATGATTTAAAAAATCTGCACCGATGATTGAAGTGTTTACATCTGCGATAATAAATGGCCATGTGAAATTTCTTCGTAAGCCAAGAGCTAGAGTTATCTCTATTTCTCCAAATGTTTTGATCATAGAACCATTTGCTGCGTAGAGTATTCTTTCGTTCTTATTGTTTGTATTTGAATTTTTTTGTTTGGCGGCAATAAGTGAAACATCTGCACCCGTGTCTATTAGGAATGATTTTTTTGTCTTATTGTCATAGACGAACAGTCTTGTAGATGTTTCGTTTACAACTTCCTCTGCCGCCGTAGACGAAGTCGGTTTTAGTTTTTTGTGCCATATGTGCATGGCTGCTTGCAATTTTTTGCATTTGCCCCATATGTTCTATGATACCAACAATTTGTACTGGTCTTTTCTTCACTATCATCATGACATTGCCGGTTTCTGGATGTTGAACGTGAACGTTGATTTGCTCTTGAGCGGTGTTCGGTTGATAATTTCGAGACCATTTTCGTCAGTCTGGTCACTTCTCGTTGAAGTTGTTCGATTTGTGCATCACGTTGAATATGAGCTGCTGCAGGGACGTTAGCTGCATTGACGTAAGTTCCTTGCATTGTTGAGTTTATACGGATTGTTTCGGTTATGTTGTCTGCCAATTCCGCCATCTTAGGTAGTTCCACTTGAATTGTGGCTAGACATGTCTGTACTTCTACAGGAAGACGTTGTAACCATAACCCTTTCAGTAATTGTTCGTCTTGTTTGCTTCCACTAATACGTTGCAATTCGCTTAAAAGATGGGATGGCTTTTTATCCCCAAGCTGTAAACCACTAACTAATTTTTGTATGCGTTTTTGTTCACTATCCGCAAAGTTTTTTATTATTGCTTGCTTGATAGCCTCGTACTTCTGAGTTGCTGGTGGATTCTGTATTGTGTTATAAATCTGTTCTAACAGCGATCCATCCAATGCTGCGATAACTGTGCCAAACTTTTGAGTATCGCCCTTTATGTTGTTGACTTGGAACCAGTAGTCCAACTGAATAAACCAAAGGTCAATGTTGTTTTTTATTAATGTTGGCATCGGCAGCTTTATTGCAGTGATTGTTGCGTTTTCATTGATTGGGTTAGTGTCTTCGGTTATCTTTTGCTCTTGAGTAGCCATTTTTTTTTATATATTCGACGTCGGCTTGGTCACCAATGTAGTGGTTTGTTATGTTGGGGTTTATTTCGAA